AACTTCATCTCTTACAACTTTTTCTCTTCCACCACCCACAAATATCTCATATGTTTATGATATTGTTACCATATTGCCACATTTAACAACAAGTGTTTCTGTTTCACTAACCACCACCATATCTACCACAATTGATCCAATTCCAACTATTTTTGCTCCTAATCCTATTTTATCTCTCACTACAAAAATTCCACCAGAACCTATCCACAGTTTTACATCTATAATAACCTCATCTCAATCACTCATAGAAATTCCTCACTCTTCAAGTTTTGGTAACAACCTTCGTTTTGCCTTTTTCAACAGACAATCCATTCTTCATGACTCAACAACTATCCATCCTGATCCACACTCTCCTTCTGATCAAGAAATGTCTAAAAGGAATTTTTTTGATACTTTTGAAGCTATTGAAATTCCCACAATTGAACCTTTTACCTTCTCTGATCTCTTTGACATATCTGAACAACCATTATCACAAAATCCTCCTGAACAAACTTCTGAACCAAACCATCCTGAACCTAACCTAGCCTTAGTTGTCTATGAAAAACCTGCTCCAAAAACCTTGGATGAATACATTAATATGTTTAGAATCAAGGCTAAGAAAAAGGCTGTGAAGCTTAGTGCAGAGGCAAGTACTTCTACTAAGCCTCAAGATCTGGATGTTTCTTGGAAGCTGTTTCAAAAGTGGATGTCTTCTGAGTTTGACCATATGAAGAACTTTTCTGAAGCATCCAGAGTTTGAGATGTTCAGATGGTGAAAAAAAGAGCAGAAGCAATAGAAAGAGTCAGACTATTTGAACTGATTACTGCAAAACAAAGAGAAGCAGAAGCTAGAGCGCTAAAAGAGGATGAGGAAGCCAGGTTGGCTCTGGAAGCTGAAGAGGTAGAAAAGGCAAGACAAGATGCTATAGTGGTATCTTCTTCTGATTCTGCCATTGCACATCTAGAAACTACAATTGGTGAAATCAAAGAAGAATAACTGATTTTCAGAGAAAGCATTATTGAACAAAAGGCTATCAATGAGAATGCTCAAAGTATACTGAAGCTGATTCTTGACAAGATATCTTCTCCAACATCTCCTACAAATGGACCCTAGGTTCTTAGGCTTTTACTTTACCTTTTTGCTTTTGAACCTTAGAACTCTTTCTTCTTATGTTTTGCTTCTTATGTTTTCTTTTCTGACTTATGATCTTTTAATTCTTAATGAAGTTTATTTTGGTTTATCACTTCTTATTTTACTTGTTATTTTACCTTTTTGATTATGACAAAAAAAGGAGTAAATAACTGAAAGTAATATTTTGATTATGATAATCAAATTCTGGAAAACGTCTCTAAAAAGAGCTGCTTACATTCTAACCCAGTTAAACTTTTGTTTATGTTAGAATTGTTTTCCTTTTTAAGGAATTATGAACTCTAATTAAAGTCAAGATTTGAAAGTGTTAAACAAGGCTTTTGTCTAACTTTTGGATTCAGACTCTGAGAAGTTCTTAAGTTCATAATCAGACTATTCATAATCAGGCTCTGAATTGAGAGTCTGGAATCTGTCTTTGTGACGCTAGAGTTTCAAGATCTCAATTGTCGTGATTGGTATCAAGACTCTCAAGATCTCAATATCTGATCTATTGGAACCAGAAGGAGTTCCACTCAAATGGTTCAGAATCAGGATATTTGATATTCATCGAGTCTTAGAGTCAGGGGGAGTTTTCATATAAAGGATAAGTGTTTCTTACCCTTATTATTTTTTACTTCCTTTGATTATGTACAAAATTATGTTATTAAAGTACATTGTTTTCTCATCATCAAAAAAGGGGAGATTGTTAGAATAAGATTTGGTTCTGCAACTTTATCTCTAAGTTTTGATGAAAACAAATGAGTATGTTTGTATGAACAATTTCGATACTCTAATGTTTGTTATTTTGAGTATTTAACAAACAGGTCCTACTTCTGACGAAAGGCACTGCCAAGACATTAGAAGAGAATAAGTTCCGCTTTTAGGCTACACAAATTCTGATGAACAGTAGAAAAAGCTTCAGAAGATTCTGAAGTTGTGACTCTGATACATGTCTAAGAAACAAAGTTCTAAAGATCCGAAGACAGAAGTTCTAACTGAAGTCCAGATGCTGAAGACTTATGTTTATGAAGACAAATTATTCTCAAGACCAAGTGCTAAAGATTCTGATAGACGAAGTTCTGAAGATTTTAAAGATTTGAAGTTCTGGTAACCCAAGGTTCTACAATGGGTTCTAAAGACCAAGTGCTGAAGATTCTGAAGACCCAGTTCTGAAGACTATGAAGACTTGAAGTTCTGAAGACCCAAGTGTTATTCTCAGTCTTCCAACGTATGCTTGATTAGAAGCCTCTAACGTAAGAAGAAAAAGAGGATAAAATTACGTGGTACAAAAAGTACATGGTAGAAACAAAATATTTCATTTCACTACCATGAAGGACAAATGTCGCGTACGATCTCGTCTCTCACGTGATTGCTCAAGCTGCCAACTTTCTAGAAATTCCAGAAATACCCTTCAACGGTTATATTATTCTATTCGCTATAAAAGGGATTGAAGACTATGAGAGAAAGCGGCCAATTCACGTTGATACACTTTCTATTAAGACTGCTCATACACTTTCATATTTCTCTAGTCTATGTTCTAAAATTATTGTTTATATATCCGTTTGTGTAGAAGCATAATTTCTTGTAAACAAACTTTGTTCATACAATTGTTTGATTTTTCTTAAGGGACAAGTTGGTCAGAATCCTTGAGAAGTCTAAGATTAGTGTGTCTTAGAGGTTGTAATGTTAGTCACTTGCAGTTAACTTGTGCATTATAATAATTTTTTTGATTATTGGATTAAGTCCTTGTTGAGAAAGAAGAAATCACCTTGGCGGGTGAACTGGACTAGCTTGATAGTTTTCAAGTGTGGACTGGACTAGCTTGATAGTTTTCAAGTGAACTAGTATAAACATAACTTGTTCTTTCCTTCTTGCATCTTATCATTATTATCACTGAATGAAGTAACTTGTTATGATTTAAAGAGGATTTTAAAATGAAAAGTTTTTTTATTTAAAACCCAATTCAAACCCCCTTTCTTGTATTTTTCACACCTTCATCTTACGTCCAAGTCAATGAATAAATGAGGGAATTGATGATATTTTTTTAGATTTTCAAGAGAGTGTACCATGGTTTTCATATGTATCCCCTTATATAGGGGGTCTTATTAGGGTTTCAGAAGGCTCTCGTCCCGTAGTTCCAATCACAATCATCTAGGCCAATAGATGGAAACATATAATATGTTTTGTTATTAAACAACCATGCTTTGACTTCATGTCCAGATCAAGTGTTTTCTAGAACATGTATACGCCTTCTCCACAAGTCCTAGAACCTTCTTGCTCACAACATATATTGGTATTTTTCCTTTTAAAGTTAATATCCATAAGTTACTCTTGTCACAAAAATATCCACCTTCAGGGCTTAATAACCAAATTAGGCTCATTTTCATTGGATTGAGTTTGCGGATGAAATCACTTAGGATTTGTTATGATTTTAACTTTTAACTCATTAAGATAATAGGCAGGCTTTATTCCTATCTTAGTCCATGTAGGAACAAGTAGTAATATTTGTCTGAATTTGACTCCCTTGAACTCCTTGTATGATAGACTTGACTCTCAAAATATCAAGAATTTGTTGAGAGATATGATACATGATATCATGCATCACAACACCTAATATTTTTCTAGTAAAAGACATGGACATTACCAATGGTTCCTTTAGTTGATCAATCAACGTACTCTAAGAGCTATTGTAGGAGCTACACATGTTGGCATTCTCATAGTTTATGGAGGTCTAATAGGTCATTGTTGGTCTAACCTCCTCATAGAAGATGGTGATGGTTTATCCATGATGCTAAGGTTCTTTCTAGATTGCATGTGCATATGTCAAGCATAATATTGATATAGTGAATGAGATTTTTGAGTGATTTTAATTGTAGTATCTCAAATTTATTTTCGAATTTGAAAATTAATTGAGGGATTAACTAATAGCCCTCAATAGTAAATTATCCTCTCATCAAGTGATTGCGCTGAGAGGAGGAATTGTGTCTCTCAACTGTGAATTTCTTAACTATTTCAAAGAGCGTTAAATACAATGTGTGGGGGAAATTGTGCTACTATACTATAAAATGCATAAAAACTAAGTAAAGTGAAAGAGATAAAAAAAATACAATATTGCTTGATTTAATTGGTTTTTTATATGATTAAACAGCCCAATATTATAAGCAAACATTAGTTTTGTTGATTAGATCGTGGTGGCGTACAAAGTTTAATCTTGCTCGGCTATTTACACGTGTAATGTGTGAGACCCCCTTTGTGAGTGGTCGTGGTGCCCAATGTTCAGCTCAATATCTTCCCTTTTTCGGAGTGTTTATTTCAATCTACCCTCATGTGTGCAGCTTTCTTCATATACCATCTTTGGTTAGTGGCACCTTCTACATGGAACATAATAGTAATGCATAATTGTCTAGTTCTATTACATTTTGATTGAGTCTAAAATTTTGGTGGTTGTGATAAATTTCAGTATACTTAGAAAATGATTTGTTTAACTCATATTTGAATGTATTCATACTCACATGACTTCCTATCAATTGAGGGGAATTTGTATATCTAGTTAGAGTATATGAAAGAGATTATCAAAGTTATGGTTAAGGAAAAGAATCTACACGCACTACTATAATTGATACAAAAACTATCATTTGTGTTGAGGATATTATCGATTTGGCACACAATTTAATACTCAAAAGAGAAGTCATGTCAACATAAATTTCTGTCTAAACAAAGTACAATGTCATAAAGCAAGTTCATTCATTGTGTGTTTGGTTAAAAGATTGAAACATCAAACATCCTTAAATCAGGTATCAATCTAGCTATCTACAAAAGTTCCCAACACATGTACAACCCAATATTCACATCACATGTGAATGAAATCATGAATATACCAAAAAAACAAATTTTATAAGAAATCTCCTAAAGATGAAGAACTGAATATAGAAATCCTCCTCCTCTTTCTAGTTTCTAAAATATCTTGTGAAACAGAAAATCTATCAAGTACAGATCTAAGAGCTTGATGAACCGATCCAACGAGAAACTGTCGATACTCGGCATCTTCGAAATTCTGTTCTTTGCAACTAATTATGACAAAGACATTCTTCATTCTACCTCCTAAAGTAGCAATCTCTGCCCTTATTATCATAAGATGAAGTTCATCAAGTGCTTGTCTTATATCAGACAATAAACCTGGTTTGTATTCACAACATAGTGATGCTCTAATTGAATAAGGGAAACCATTTAATCCACCTTCTTGTGATTCAACTCTTATCTCATCATTGTCCTTAGGTATCATTAGTCCTTCACTCGCTTGTGCTGCATTTGTTTTTAGCTCTTTCAAATGTGTAATAACTTCAGCTAGTAAAGATGCTTTGTCCAACTAAGTTTAAAAAGTACATAGAGAAAAATTTAGATTCTCAAACTATGAAAAGATTAACATATATAGCATTTCTGCTACCACATTTGTAAAACATACGTTAATATAAGTGACTTCACCTTACAAATCGGTTTAGTAAAGTTGAGTTAGACTCGTACTCAACCTAGATTCTAAAATGATATCAGCATAGCCCGTCTTTGTGGTCATGCAAGACGGGTTAGCGCACATAGGTCAAAGTTTGACACATAAAGGACCTCTTAAAATATTTGTCACACTTATATTATGATAAAATCGGATCTATTCGATTTGTCATACTTGTTAGCTTACACATAGCCTCTAAAAACTTTAGACCACCCTTTATATTAGTGTTTGGTTCAAAATCTTAAGGACAACTACATGATATCAGTTTTCCTTTATAGGACCATCTACAATAGATAACTATTTACTCATATGAGAAAAGTTGTTCTAGACATGATCAAAAGTAGCACTAAATAAAAAAGGAGTAACTAACTAACCTTATTAGCACCTGGAATAACATTACGAAGTGTATCAAGATGTGAATTAATTCTTGCTCTTCTTCTCCTCTCAGCTTCACTATGATTCCTCAAAGCTTCAACAGTTCTCTCAGGTGAAACACCTTTGCCTTCCAGTTTCACGGATGCTTCCACAAGCTCTCCTCTTTCTCTATCCAAAACCAGAGAAGAAGATGAAGCATACTCATTCATTCGGGTTGAAGCAAAGTCGTCCATTTCCCTACACGGTTTCCAAGAAGAAACAAACAGAAAGACAGGAGAAATGGAAAGTTTTGTCTGTGAGAAAATAAATGAAATAGAATGATGAAAAGGGAAAGGGTTGTTGTTAGGTTGTCATGTTGGGGTTGGAGTGTATTTGGAAAGTGAAGTGTGTGTCAGATATGATGAATGATGATAGTGAGTTTGGTGAGATCCAGAAAGAGAATGGTGATGTTGCTGCTTGCTGTTTCTTCTGTTAAAGATTGCTTCTTATGGTGGGGGACTACATCCACACACTTTTTATATAAGCCTTTTCACATTAAATTAAACCAACTTTTATAGATACTGTATTCCTTTTCTTTTATAAATCATATATAATAATAGAGATTAATTTCACAAACTAAGGAAGTAAGAAAGAATTAATATTTTTCACGTCATACAGTCAGAAACGAATTAATTGGTGGTGGATAAACTTGATTATAATAGAATTGAGTTTGATAGAATTATTTTTATCTCAATTGAATTTATTAGAATTAATTTATGTTTCGATACATTTATATAAAAATTAATTGAACAATAAATTTTAATGAAAAAATCATTCAGAATCAATTATGGAGGCGGAAGCTATAAATTTTAATTTCAAATAGATCAACTCTGAAGACAAAATTAACTCTACTTTTACCTAACCAAATATCTTAAAATCATTCGGAATCAATTCTACCTCTAGAAATGTTTCCGGCCTTTCTAAAAGCCAGACCAAACATACATTTAGTGTTGGTAAAACGAACTCAATTTATTCGGCATGTTAGTTTTTTTGCACTTTAGTGCAAAACGGACTAAAAGTTTATGTTTGAATCCTCTAATATATCCGTTTCATCTCATTTTGTTTTTTGTTTTTTTAGATTGTTACGCACGTCAACATTTACATGATTTTTTTTATATTTTTAGACTTAAGTGCTCGCGGACCCGCACCACCCCACCTTCATTTTTAGTGCGGAGCCGATCAATGCACCCTCGAGTATGTTCACACACACCACCTTTTTTTTAGACAACACAGAGCGAACATACTCGTTTACTACTCCCCCTATCTCATAATAAGTGTTTCATTTCCACTTCTTCTATGTCTCAAAATAAATATTTTTTTTATAATTAATATAATATTTTTTTCAATATTATATCCTTATTTATTAGTTTTAACGCTTTTCAATTATTTTACTAATTATAATAAATAAGAGTGTTTTAACAAATGACACTAATTTTATTATTAAAATCAGTATATTTAATATCTTTTTAAAAACCGCATAAAATTTAAATGATATACTTATTATAAGACGGCGAGAATATTTCCTAATCCACTTTTCATAAATAATTGCGAACCCTAAATCTTTGAATAAGTTGAAAGAAATTACTTACCATTATAAGTACCGGACCATAACATTGTTTATTTAATAAATTAAAAATAATTTTTCTTTGTAATAATAAAGTCATAGCATTATTTTTATGATTATCTGATATAATAATAAAATTTAGGTGGAGACTTTAATGTCCTTAAATTTAATTGAATAACAATATTCTTAATCAATTAAATATTATAATGTAATATCATCTCACTTTTATTTTATTTAATTTATAAATTTTAAAACAATTTATTTTTAAAATATCAATACTCAACTTAAACTCACTCACAATACCAAAGAATTTTAACAAAAATTTATAAATTTCATTTGTAGAAAATGAAGAGCAATTATCATTATAGACCTATCAATGTGGTCCACCCTATATTTTGCGTTAAAATAGCAAAATATTGTACTGATTATAATTTTTTATCTATTTAAAAGTGGAAATGAATTTAAAATCTATTTTAAAACTATAATCTTTCTTATTCATGTTCAATCTCAAAGCTTTTTTTCTCTTTATATATAGTTCCAACCTTTGATTGATAGAAGAGAGTCTTTACTTGTTTGGCAATACAAAATTTATTCTATTTAGTCAAACTTTCATTAATATTTTTCATCATTTTCATATATTATTATATTGTTGAATAATTGTATACATATTGTTATATTTTTTACTTTAAGCAAATAAGATATTTTAAGGAGACTTTTTTTTTAAAGATTTATTCTTAGAGATTTCATTGTCACATAAATTAAATGATGGGAGTATAATGTCAATATTTTATTTTGTTTATTTCTAGCGGGCCAATTATATACTATTTATTTTTGCTAACGGTCTTTATTCCATTGTTTATATAATGCCGAATTGAATTTAAATAATATGCTTGGAAAAAAATTGTTGTATTCATATTTTGTAAATAATAACATTAATAATTCATGTAAAAAATTAAATTTATATAGTATTGTTTATTGAAATTTAAATATAAGTGGTTAAATTTCACATCTATTAAAAATATATTAGGTATGTAAGAGAGGTGATTCATAGTCTATTTTTTTTATAGTGGAAAAAAGAAGAGTAATAAAATAAAAAAGAAATTTATCTAAAAAATAACGTTCCACTATTCATCGGCTAGCAGGAGAGCGATGATTCCTAGGAGGTTCTGCAAAATATTGGTACATCGTATTATTATCAGTTTCATGTTTTGTTAGGTAGTCAGCACAAGTATTCTCCTCCCTAAGAGTATGAAATATTTGAAGTCGTCATTTCCTTGAGAGAAGTTCTTTAATGTTGTAAAAAATTACAACATATTGATTCTAATCATTAATAGACTATGAGATAAACTTCATAGTAGAGTTGAAATCAAAATAACACATCAGGTTTTTGATATCAAGTTCTCAGATCATACGCAAATCATGATATAGCGCCACCAACTCAGTATGAAGAATGTTGGAACAACCAATATTACACGCAAAACTGTGAACCCTAACACCCTCAGCATTTCAAATCAATCCACCAAAACCCGATACTCCGAATTACCGAGGCTAATGCCATCAACATTCAAAATCATGTTACTACCTTTGTGTGCATTCCACGTGATCGTTCTCGTTGGATGAGAGATGTTATGCTTGAGAAACTATTTAGCTAAAAGATTAGCGTAATTCATTGTGATGAGTTTCAAAGTATATGAAGATACCACTTCATCCACAAGACACGGTTTATTCCAAGCGCGGCATAACCACCAACAAACAGCCAAAAGACAGAGCCATCATTTATGTCATGTTTAATCCAATCATATAAATTATCCCCTTGGAAGAATGGTGGGTCTAATAAGCCAATAGATTTCTAAAAGCGAGTAGAAAATTCACAGTCTCTCAAGAAGTGTAGGATCGTCTCACTGTCTTGATTGCATCTAGGACATCGATTCCTCTGGAGCATACCACGATGACACAACATTGATTTGTAGGAAGGCACTTATGTAAAGTCATCCAAAGGAAGAATTTCACCTTCTTAGGTGCAGGAATATGCCACACCCACTTCTAATTGTTATTGTCTGTTATATTCTGATCAAATTAAAGTTTGTTGAGTCAGTTTTAACCATCCTGAGTAGTAAAGATATTGTCTAAATTTCCTTTTCAGATTAACCGATCAAGAACCATAGAATTCAAACAAATGTGAAGCGTTTTTAGGCGCTCGCAAACAATTGTGTGCATATTAGTATATAATAAGTTGAAGTTCCAATTTTCATCCAAGTAAACATTATTCACTCATATTTTTAGACCGTGGATATCCACATAAAGAATCTGCTCTGCTAATTTTTCTACCCCAGTCCAATTGGAAAACTAGAAAGAGGAGTTCCCATCCCCTAATATATATTCAAAACCTTCTTTAAGATCTGTGAGAGCTTTCATAATTTCATTCCAAGTAACTGATCCCTATTTCTTTTTCATATTAAGGAACGTTTTCTCATCGAAGTACCTATTCTTAAAAACTTAGACCCATAGGGAATCACAATCTCGATGGAGATTCCAAACCAGCTTACCCAACATAGAGGTATTGGTTTCTCATACTTTTCGGATCCCATGACCATACAACTTTTTGGGCTTAGTGATTTTATTCCAGCCAACATGATGCACATCAGAGTTTGAATTACCTTTCCATAAAAAAATCCTTAGTCATCCTATCAATAAAATCAGAAGTTGGTTGAGGTAGTCAAGCCACTTGCATATAATAGTTTAGAATGGATTTTAGGACATTACCTAACCAGAGTCAAACGACCAACCTTGTTTAAAAATTTATGTTGCCAAGATGATAACCTCTGACTGATTTTCTCCTCCAAGAACTCAAAGTCCTTGCGTTGAATACCATCATACAACTTAGGGAAACCCAAGTACTTTTCTAGGGTAAGAGTTTGCTTGATACACGTGTTGGAGAAAATTAAATCTATTTTACTCCTCTTAGTTGTAGCGGGGAAGAATGCCTTTGATTTAGTACCATTCACTCTAAGGCTAGAAAACATGGCAAAACGATTCAAGATATCATAAATGATCCTTGCCTGTGAGTTAGAAACCTTCATAAAAAGAAGAACATCACCAGTAAAAAATAAATACGATAAAGGGGGTCCATTACGAGATAATCTGACAAGTTTTCAATGACCTTCATCGACTGCCCTGATGATTGTGTGCGGAAAGAATTTCATGCAAATAATAAAGAGATATGTGAAATGGGGTCACCTTGTCGTAATCCTCTAGTCGAAACAAAATTTGGTAGTTGTCTCTCATTCCAAATAATAGACATAGAGGAGGTAGTTGCACAGTGCATGATCAACTTTATAGTAATGGGGGGAAACTTGTTTTGCTTCAAACAAAATTCTAAAAAATCCCAATTAACCTGATAATAAGCCTTTTCAAGATATATTTTGAACACAATCTCAACTTTTTTTCTTTTTAGATTTATGCACAGAATAAATTTCTTCTTGGAGGATAGTGAAATTATTAATTGTCCCTTTACCAGGCAAAAATCTACTTTGAAAGGGACAACTAATTTAGATAATGACGCAATTTGTAGACCATAATTTTTGTAATAAGTTTGTAAATAGTGCTGCACAAGTTAATGTACCTCAATTC